AATGAATTTTTTTCTTTTATTGCAATAAACTTCCAGATGGATTTTCCTAAAATTACGAGTTTTTTCGACAAGATAGTAAACATTAATTTTTTTTTTGCTATGAAAGAAATCTTTTTGAAATGTCTAGTAATATTTGGTGGTTGAAAGTAAAGGCATTAAGCGTAACGACCCTAGTGAAATTTTTGTTTTCTTGTAGCATCAAAGATTAGTTCACATTTCCAAAAAAATAAAATAATATATATAGTGGGGTTGATAAAGATGGAAATTCTGCTTCAGTTGAATTTTAGTGACCTAGATGTACGCATAGACTGCATTAAGGTAAAATAGACTAGACATTCAGCCACAAGAAGCACTCAACTTCTTTAGTTAATACACTTCAATATGTATGGCCCTTTGGATGTTCCTTCATGGAGTGGTTAAAAGTATTTCAGCACTTTTATTGATGATTATTCACTGTATGAATATACCTATCTACTGCATGAAAAGTTTAAGTTTGTGTATGTTCTAAAAGCATTTATTGATGAATTAAAAAGGCAGTTAGATAGGTTTAAGTACGTAGTGAGATCTGATAAAAGTGGTAGGTTTAAAGAATTCAATAAAAATGGATGATGTCCCGGTCTGGTCCATATGATAATTTATGTGAAGGTAGATACATTTGTGCATAATACACAATGCCTGGTATTTCCTCAGCAAAATGGTGTAAATGAGAGACGAATCATACTTTAATAGAGATGGTTGGGAGCATGTTAAGTAGTTGTTCTTTACCCCTATTATTGTGGATATATAAATTGAGAACTACAACGTATGTACTGAGCCGGGTTCCTAGTAAGACAGTTCCTAAGATCCATTATGAACTGTGGACAGGAAGGAAACGTAGTTTAAAACGAGTATGTGTATGGGGTTTCCTGCAAAAGTAAGGTTATATAGTCCACATGAAAAGAAACTTGATTCTAGGACTGTCAATGGATTTGTTATTGGCTATCCTTGAAGAGTCAAAGGACTAGAAATTTTATTGTTCTAACCATAGTATGAGAATAGTTGAATCGGTTGATGCTAGGTTTACTGAGAATAGTAAAAATAGTGGTAGTGGTGAATTGTGAAAGGTGGACATTAACCAAATTCGGGTTGAAGTTCTTTCACCTAAAGTTGCACTTGACGTAATTGTTTATATTGTTGCATCAGATTCAGTGACACAATAGAATGAACTTGCAACAGCTTCAAGTAGAGAATAGTGAACCACAAGTAACTTTAAAGCGATCTGGGAAAGAAGATTTGTCATATCAAATGAGTATGTGGTAGCTATAATTGAAAGTGAATGTGACTTAAGCATGTATAAAGATTCGATCTCATTCCAAAGAGCCATAGAAAGTGACAATTCTGGATTTGATGCCAGAAAAAAAAACAATGAAATCTATGGACAATAATGAAGTTTGGTACTTAGTAAAGTTGCCAGGTGGTTTCAAAACTGTTGGTTAGAAGTGGGTCTTTAAGACTGAACGCGACTTGAAAGGTAACATTGAAAGATACAAGGCTCGCCTTGTTGCTAAATGTTTCACACCAAAAATATGGCATTAACTATAAAGTCACATATTTTCTAGTTTCAAAGAAAGATTCTCTTAGAATTGTTTTTTGGCTTTGTGGCTCATTATGATCTTTAGTTTCACCAGATGGATGTTTAACCGTATGTTTGAAGGGCGAACGTGAGGATAAGGTATATATGGACCAACATGAAGGTTTCATGGCCACATGAAAATAAAATATGGTGTGTAAGCTGAGAAAGTCAATATATCAACTAAAACAAGCTTCCAGATAATGGTATATGAAGTTTAATGATATCATCTCATCGTATGTTTTTGTAGAGATGATCGTTGATCAATGTATTTACAGTAAGGTTGGTGGGAGCAGATTTTCTTATGGTAGTCTTATATGTTGATGTAATTATGCTTACTACAAATAACATAGGCATGTTACATGATTTAATGTAGTATCTCTCTAAGAACTTTGAAATGAAAGATATGAGTGAGACATCTTATGTGATCAGAATAGAATCTTTCGAGATAAATCACAAGGGCTGTTGAGTTTGTATCAGAAATGATATATCAGTAAGTCATAGAGAGAGATATTTAAAAATAGCTCTATAGGAATAACTCCAATTTGGAAGGGGGAAGTTTAGTAAATTTTAATGTCTTAAAAATGAATTGGAACGTAAAGAAGTGGAAAGATTTCCTTAGACATTAGTGGTTGGTATTTTGATATTGGAAAGTTGAACCGATATGAAAATAATCCTGGAATGAATCACTGGAACGCTGTAAAGAAAGGTCTTCTTGTACTTGCAAGGCACCAAGAGAACATGCCTATATAAAAGAGATCTAATTAGTTAAAGGCCATTGGATATTCATATTCAGATCATGTCGGATGTGTTGATGGTAAAAATCAACGTTTGGCTATTGCTCATATTAATTGGGAACAATAGAAAGGAAAGTGAAAAGTAGTTTGTCATTGCTAGTTCTACTATTAATAAGGCTGAATTGTGGGATGCTTTGAGGCCACAGTTCATGAATAGTGTGGCTGCGAAAATTTATCTCAGCCTTTGGATTGTCGGCATTAATTATAGTCAAGTCATTGAGAATTCATGGTGATTATTTTTCAGTTGTCTTATTTTGAAAGGATGACAAGTATAAGAATGGTTGTAAGCACATTAAGTGGAAATACTTGTCTATTAAATAAGAAGTTTCGAAACATAGAGTGTCATTTGAGCACATAAGAAAGGATATAATGATAATGGATCTGCATAATAAAGTTTTACCACCCAAAGCGTTCAATGGCCATTTAAAAGTGTATGTGTATTATAGATAAAGCCCTGCTATTATATTTATGGAATACTCTTTAAGTGTCCGGAACCTAGGAATTAAATTAAAGTTAAGTTTCTCATTTATTACATATGTTATCATTAAAGTATGTGTATACTTAAGGTTCATATACAACATATGGTAAAGTTTTGAGAATAAATGTTCTTCTCAACAAAGGAAATGCCGGTTAAATGACATATAACCGCCATGATTCGATTAGTTCTAGTTTTATTAAAGATCAAGTAAATTTGATGGAAAGTGCATACTAAAGTTATTGAACCCTTAAGACAAATGTCAAGTAGAAGAATGTATAAATATTTTATATTCTATATAACCTATTTGTCTATTGATTTAATATAAAGTTCAAGTTCATATAAATATTTTTAGATTTTAATATAAAAGACGAAACAGTGATAGATAGGTTTAGATTAATGAGTTAGAATATGTGTGTATTGACAACCCTTTCCTCTTATGTTATTTAATTAAAAATAATTTCTTTTATAATAGTTATATATATGTAAAAATGATCATTTAATTCCTTAAGTAATTAAAATTGGCAGTTTTATTCACCAAGTATTGTGTACGCAAATTAGTTCCTCAAATCTTACTTGACTGAATAAAATTGAACTCATAAATTAAAACTTCACGTTAAACAGTAAATGGAGACGTCAATCTTTATTTTTTGTCCCTCTTTTTATCACCTTCTTCTTATTTCTTCCAAATCAAAATTTACCATCTTATCCACTGAACTAGCTAGAAGCTATCGCTTCGGGTCGAAACACTAAAAGAAAAACACCGAAAACGCGGCGGCATAGGAACCACGAGACCCCCACACTACTAGTAAAGGGAAAACAGAAGTGTGCTCCTGCGCACCAGCTGAAAAATCCATTTCCCCTTTCTCTGATAATTCTGACGATGATTGCATAAGTCAATTCCAGCGAATCATTCTACCAAAAACAACAATCCGAATTATCTATTCAAGAAGTACCTCATTACAAATAAAAAAGTACTCAGAAAAAGAAAGTGATTCTAGCTTGGTTAATAGATAAGAAGTATCATGGCGGAAAGCAGCGGTGGTGGTTGTTGTGAATCCTTATGTTCTTATAAACCAGTTATTAGTTTTGATTTTAGCTTAGTCCAGAGAAGAATCCATTTCAACGTGCATATGTAGCTCATATAAATTCATGCTTATGTGACAAGAAGCTGAACATGTTGAAATCAATGCTAATAATGACAAGTTGCAGCGATCCTATAATGAATTTATGTAGTACGGCTGTAAAAGATTTTGTGGACTTTCCTTTGTTGCAAGGAGTACAACATATGCAGCTATTCTCCTAATTAATTTTTTACTTAATCACTGTAACATTTTGTTGCAGACCACTGGATATATTTCTAAACTATGGAACCTCAAGGTATTATCCTATGTAGATCAAAACTGAACGGTCTGTGCTAGAATTTGTGTCCTCACTGAGATTAGCTGGAAATTTCCTCCCTAATCCTCTTCAAAATCAATTTTAGGGTTTGTCTTGTTTGATTTGGGAAAAATATAAAATGTTTGAGATTATTAATTGAGGAATTATTTTGAGACATCATACTTGGAGAATAAAACTGCCAATTTTAATAACTTCAGAAATTAAATTGTCATTTTCCATATATATATATATATATAATTGCCTTTTCTTCCCTCATGCTCCGTCACGTCATCAAACAAATGACTCTGAGCGAGACACGTGGCAGGAGAGGTATATCCGGTGCGTTTCAGTAAGTCATGAGTGAAATTCTTTTGGGCTTCTGATAAAAATTGGGCTTCATTTTATCATCTTCGCGTCCAGTCCGTCAATCAATTCATGTTACATGAAACGCAGCATAGACATCTAGGGTTAGACAAGTCTTCTTCTTCGCCTCTCCGGAGCTGATGGCGTTTGGGCTTTCCCAACCGATCGTTCGTCTTCTACAGCACAACACAAAAGAATAATGTTTCCAGAATAATTCTCTTAAAACCTTCCATTAATTTGCCACCCACGATTTCTATTCATTGCCAGTTCTGGATATGCAAGTCACTGAAGATTTTGCTATAAAAATGTGAGCTTTCCTATTTTTAGAATCATCCCTCATTCGTTTTAAAGTAACCAGTTAATAATTCGGTGAGATATGGCTAACGTTTTGGTCCTCCTCTCCGATTTGCAGACGGGCCACTCCTCCTCAACTGTTCAAGTCCGTTTCTGGGAGGCCCGGAATGTCAACCATGGTGGAGAGCTCATGGGAGTCGAGATGCTCCTACTAGATTCTCAGGTCTCTGCTTTAACTCTGCCCTCTGTTCATATTTCAAAGTTTTTTTTTTTTTAAGTTTATGTTAAAAATTTTCCATTGAGACAACTTCCAGAGTTTGATGATTGTTGTGTCTATTCACGTTTATTCAGGCAACCATGATGCCGGCCACCGTGAATGTCAACCGGCTTGCGACTTACATGCCTAATCTGAAAGCAGGATAGGTTTTTTCCCTAACTGGGTTTTAGCGACTCAACCTCTTTTAATGAGGTCACTGAACCAGCTGTCCTGATACCTCTTGAATCATTCCGGTTCTGCAATCACTGTGAAATGCTTGGTCTTGCCAGCACCAACGATCAGCTTCCAGGTCATGTTACTCTTATCTCTTCTTCTGACAACCAGATTAGTTATATAATAGATCTGTCGATATATAATAGATCTTCTTTCGACAGACATTATTGGTGTAATGACTGTTTCAAGTACCGTCACTGACCCTTTTCAGGACAAGAACCGTGTAATGGCAACTATTAAGATGGACAAGTAAATTATCACTTAGCCTAACAACTTTATATTCAATTATGCAAGTTGGTCACACCACTGGGCTTACACCGGCAGCTCCACTACGCTAAGGTGGAATCACTGAGCACAACTGAGCTCAATAGTTTTATCATAACTTCTCCCACCAGCTTTAAAGTGAGTTACTACCGAATATATAAGTTTCTGTGTGTAATCCTGGCAACGATGACAATGGAGATGACAACTCCGGTGCCATCTCAGTGGCTGCTAAGGTGGAAGCTGGTGTTAGTAGCCAGACTCAGGGTGCATCGGTCAAGGTGAAGAAAGCACGCAATGCATAGGTGAAGAGGATTGGAGTTGAAAACGCAGTGTTAACGCTTTCAATAATACTTAAGTTGTTTTCTCTGTTTTTTTGTTTTTTTTTTGTTTTTTTTTGCTTTACCTACCAGTTTGGCTTTAACTCTTGGTGCTTATATATTTAGTTATCGATTATCGATTATAATAACTATCTTATTTCGGAAATTTTTGGCACTATGTGCTTATTGACCATCATCTGGTGAGTCAAGTTTCTGAAATGCTATTAACCAAAAAGAATGAAGTCACTTTCAATATTATTGTGATTTTTGTCGACTTTTGTTTTACACTTGACAAAAATAAGATGCTTCTTTTTAGTGGCCTTCTCATACATCTATTGTGTCAAATTTACTTTTACTTAGGGCCTGTAAACTCTTAATTTTTAGACGAACATAGCTCAAGCACATGTAAATATGAAGAATGTTGGTTTGCAGATCTGTATAGATGTGGATAATCTAATGTAAATATGATTATGTTTATGAGTTGGGTCCCTTTATATTCGATATTACACTGTATTAACATTTTATTCAATAGTAACTTTTGGCCCATATCATATCCTAAGATAGAACGTAGACGTCACCATAGAAACTCACAGTGTGTCTGCGGATTCGCAATAATTAGAAAAGCCAAACACATGACACGTATACATATATATGACTTAAAGTATAGCGTCCAACTTAATATCTGATACAACTGATGTACCTTTTGTCCACATATATAAGACGGACGATGCTTACGTTCGTTGTCAATTGGTATACCTCAATGTTTGTCTGCTATGATTTACTGATATTAGTCTGCATAATACCTGCCTTACAATTCATGAAGAGTCCATCACTTCAATTGAATCTCCACAAACCGTTGCAACAGTCACTATAGACATAAAGTCTCTTCATACTGTTCTCATCACATTCTAAACAGGCACAATGTAACTGCTGATTAAATACATCCTGATGGCCTCTTACGTAGAACAATAGAGCATCTGACGCCATATCTGTCCTCTTGGATTCCTTCAATGTTTTCATAAAACCTCATGATTCAAAGCAACTAAAACAGTGAGAAGATTATCTTCCAAAAAACTATGGTGAAGGACAAAACTAAATAATCATCTCACGCTCTTGACGTTGCCAATGTCTCAAACACAGGTTTGTAACTTTGTATGGACTACAAAACGTATAACAAACATCATTTTCAAATTTTGTTACTACAGTCGTCTTAGACTTCTTCCGATATAGTGAGTCTCCAGCTATAAGCTTTGAACCAAAACAATTTCAAAACCTCAAAACAATGCTATTCCCATACATATAATGCTTCACGGATAGCTCGACAAACATTTTCTGCCTTTACTATTCGAGGTAGGTTTAAAATGATAGGCGCTCTTTCTCTAGAAATGCATATATAACAGATTCTTTTCAGATTGACTAATGTTGTAACATTGATTTTTGGGCTTCTTGCTCACTAAAGATGATATAAAACTGGTTTGGTTACAAGATTTTGTAACTGGTTAAAAACAGAATTGATAAATCATTTTGGCTACTCATCACGAGGACTACCATTCAGAGTCGTTCAAGTTGTAGTTAAAACCACACAGTTGTTCAAAGTAGATCCTAAAGGATTGGAGGCTCAATACAGTTTATTACTCATATGAGAAGTATATATACATATGTATAGTGGTGGACCCAAAAATTTGTTTTACCGGTGTCATAAATTAAATATTTTAAAATAAATTAAAATGAAATAATTATGTATTATATTTAATATTATATTTTAACATATTTAATTTATGAAACCTATTATGAGTAAAAAAAAAAATCAATAGTAAAGATTATCACAGATTTTAAATGAAAATATGTTGAATTGGGGTTTTAGAAGCTCACATATATTTTAAAAAGAAATAATCAAATTAAAATATTAAATGAAGCCCAAAAACAGAAATACGAAGTGAGTTTGAACTAAGAACCAAAGAGAAAAAATTTAAACAAAATTTAGGCTTTGGCCCGATTCAGAAAAAAAAAATCACTGGGTGCAGAAGGGGAATCGAACATCAGTTATGGAGTGTCAGTCGGCATGAGTTTAACCATTTCAGCTGTTTTCGCCAATTATTTTCAGCCTACAACTAAACTATATATTATTTAAGGGGTGTCAACTAATCCCCATCTTCTTAACATAGGTCCGCCTCTGCATATGTACAAAGTAAGATAAAAGTATTCTACTATATTTACATTATAGTCCTTACAATCTTTATCTAACATGCCCCCTCAAGATGGTGGTAGTTGACGAACGTCAATCTTGATTCGCAAGTCTTGAAATCGCGTCATGGGTAGAGGTTTCGCGAGCCCATCTGCGAGCTGATTATGAGTCGAAACATGTGCTACACATAGACACCCTTGCTGTATTTGTCCTCTAGCAAAGTGATAATCTAGAGCAAGATGTTTCATACGTGAATGAAACACATTATTGGCGCAAAGATAAGTTGCCAATGTTATCACAGCATATCGTCGGTGTAGTCTTCGTGTTCATCCCTAGCTCGTGAAGAAAAGAGGTGACCCATCAGAGCTCCGCTGCAGTATTAGCAATCGAGTGATACTCTGCTTCCGTAGAGGATCGTGCAACTCCATTTTGCTTCCTTGACGTCCATGAAATAGGTTGACTGCCAAGATAAATGATGTATGCATTCGTGGAGACATAATCATCTGAGTCTCATGTCCAATCTGCGTCTGAGAAAGCATGAAGAACAGGTTCTCTTTTTTTCTGGAGGAAGATCCTGTGGCTTAATGTTCCCGATAAATAGCGCAAAACGCGTTTGACCGCTTGCCAGTGATCATTAGTAGGGATATGCATAAACTGAGAAAGTGTGTTTACAGCATAAGAGATATCCGGGCGCGTAAGAGCAAGGTTTGGAGACTACCTACTATGCACTGATATTCATGAAGATCGGCCAAAGGTGTCCCAGACTTGATTGAGAGTTTCGGCAAGGACGATAGAGGCGTAGCAGCTGGCTTAGCATTTAGCATGTTAGCCTTTCTAAGCAGATCAGTGATATATTTTCACTGCATAAGGTGTAACCCTCGAGGTGTGCGGATTGCTTCAATAGAAAATAACCAAGATTACCCATGTCCTTGATGGAAAAATTCCGAGCAATAGCATCAATGATCTGTTGAACCAGAGTAGAGGAGCTGCATGTAACAAGTATGTCGTCAACATACACCAGTAAATAAACATAATCGCCATTATTCTTAAGGATAAACAGAGAAGCATCTGCTAAAGAATTTCTGAAGCCAATCGTCATGAGATACGTCTTGAGTTGAGAGTACCAAGCTCTTGGAGCTTGTTTCAGACCGTATAGAGCTTTACGAAGATGACACACATGTGTTGGCTTGTTCGGATCTTGGAACCCCGGAGGTTGAGACATGAAGACTTCCTCATTCAGGTGACCCTAGAGCAAGGCCGTGTTGACGTCGATTTGACGCACATGTCAATCGAAGTTTACTGCTAACCCAAGAATGATCCGAATGGTCATGGACTTGATGACATGACTAAATGTGTCTGTGTAGTCGAGTCCAGACTTTTGATGATATCCTTTAGCAATAATCCATGCCTTGTACTTATCAATCGTACCATCAGGATGATACTTGATTGTAAAGACCCAGAGACATCCAACAATATTCATTGTTTCACTCGCAGCTTCCAGATCCCAAATATGTTTCTCATTAGTAGAGTTAAATTTGGAACTCATAGCTGCACGTCAATGAGCATGCTTCATAGCTTGCTGCCAGGTTGTTGGGATCCAATGAGGATCACATTGAAGATGAACTGAGATGTTGTACTTTGTCGTTAGTTTAGTGATTTTTTTTCGTGACCTTGTGGTCATAGGGTGACGCGGTGGAGCTGCAGCAGGCGGTGGCGGAGCTGAGATAGTTTCTGCTCTTTGTAGAGTAGAAGGTGTAATCATTGCTGTAACCAGTGCTGAAGTGACAGGTTCAGTAGTCGGAGATGGTCCGTCATCATGCGGCGAGGACCGAGTCGATGTTGAAGCGAACGAGTGTGACTGCTGTGGTGTAGGTGGAGTTTCTGAGCTCGACGGTACCGTGTTCGTAGCCGTCAAAAAAGAATGTATGAGTGTCGATGTTGCAGGGGCGGATGTAAAGGGTGGACCTGGGTTTGGCGGTTCATTTTGTGTAGGCTCAGGGGATGGCTTTGGCGTAGTGAGAGAAGAATATGGGAACTGAGTTTCATTGAACCGGACATGTTGAGTGGTATATATACTGCTAGTATTTGGGTCTAAACAATGGTAGGCACTTTAGGTTAAAGAATAGCCGAGAAAGACACATGGTAGGGATCGTTTTTCTAGCTTGTT